CCCCAAAACCCCAAAACCCCAAAACCCCAAAACCCCAAAACCCCAAAACCCCAAAACCCCAATAATAATTTTCTCAATTGATTATAATAATAAAAATTATAATTATTAAATATGTTGGCAACAAGACCAATTTTGAAGAAGATAAATAAAGCAGTTTCCACTGCTTCCGCTAGAAATTTCGGAATTATGCAGGAGTATAACGAAAGAAAGAACAAGAAGCTGATCAATAACATTGCTGTTACTGAAGAACCAAGATTCTGGCTTACTTCTTCCAGACCATCTAACTTCGGAGACCATTTGGACACTAAGACTAAAGTTGACAACTGGTTCGATGAAAATAGATTGTGGAATGAGGAAAACAAGGATTATGAGATTAAGAGAGCTCAAATCTATATGCTCCAGGGATTCATTATGTCTTCATACTGCCTCGGAATCAAAGGAATTGCTACAGTCGTGTACAATCAAATGATCACAAGAGTTAGATATATCAGAGACTCATACAAAGAATTAAATATTAAAGAGCTTCCACCAGGTGAAGTACTCCAGACTTCTTGGAATGGAGAACTGATCTTTGTAAGAAGATTAACTCCTTCCGAAGTCACTCAATCAGAAGCTGCCAAGCCAAGTGAAATTCTAGATAAAGAATCCAAACCATTCTTGTCGCCAGCTACTTCTCAGAACTCTACAATCTTGGTCTGCTCTGCTATTTGCACTCATTTAGGTTGCATTCCAGTCCCATATCTAGGAGCACACAAGGGGTGGGTATGCTTGTGTCATGGATCAGTCTTCGATAAATACGGAAGAGTTAGACAGGGACCAGCCCAGAGAAACCTCCCAGGTATTAATAATACTGAATATGATGGTATCCTCTGTATTGAAGAAATGGTCTTCCCTAATGAGCCAGAAGGATTCTTATATGTATAATCAGGAATTTTTTGCAAAGGAAAGAACTAATACTTAAAAAATTCTCCTTATTTCAAGTATTTGCTTTGGCAAAGGGGTTTTGGGGTTTTGGGGTTTTGGGGTTTTGGGGTTTTGGGG